CACACACACACACACACACACACACACACACACACACACACACACACGCACACACCCTTGTGCAGATTTGAACGAGTTGGGACAATTCTATGTTGTTTTAAAAACTGTGCAGTGTTGCCAGACGTACAATAATTATCGTATTTGTATGATAATTTTGCCAATGTTGGCAAGAAGCAGAAGCGTGCTGCACCAATTCCATAGCTGTGGAAACTGCTAAAGTAAACAAGAACATTCAAATTTAAAACAAAAGAACTGCCTTTATTTTGATTCAACTTAAAATGGAGACAGTAAAACTGCACCGGCAACAGGTAGGAGGATACGGTCACATTTAGACACATCCCCCAGCTGATGGACCAGCACTATACTAATGACACAATTTACATCTAAACCAGAAAGGAATACTAAGCCTAATCTCAGTGAACTGTAAACAGTCACTAAAAGGAATTCTTATAAATAGCCTACACATTTCATTCGATTAGATTAACCCCACAGTAAACATCCTAAATACACCTACTAGACCACACCCCCAATCATTCCTGACCCCTCCTCAATCTATACCTCCATTCCCTGAACTCTCCTCTATCTCTACAAAGCACAGCACATGACAAACACTCAATGTACTGTCTGAGTTCTGCTCAAACAGTACGCCTACACTCAATGGAATACGCCAGCCACATCCCACTCTTACAGCAGGGATTCTTAAAGGGATCCCCGATTAGTTGTAACATTAGACTTTATATGATAAACATATACTTTAACTGTAAAATAAAGACTGTAAAAATACTGTAGGATGTGCAGTTTTTATAATTTTTAAACTAAAAGTTTAAAAATATATTTTAAACAATTTACAAAACTAAACAGCCTACAGTATTTTTACAGTCTTTATTTTACAGTTAAAATAAATGTTTATCAAATTAAGTTTAATGTTGCAACTAATCAGGGATCCCTTTAAACCTTTTGATCTCGGGGCCCGATTTTTTGAACATGAAGTGGCACAAGGCCCAGTCTGACATTATCAATGTACGGATCAAAACGATAATTATTCTAAATCTTGGTTTAATTTGTATTGTATTTGCATTATAACTAAATTAAAATATACTTAAAATAAAACTCCTGTCAAATAATCACAATACATGAGAACATTGTTTTATATTCTAACCTGCCCTGCAATTATTTGAACAAATACAATGGTCAGTCAACAGATCACTCAGGCTTGTCAACACAAAAATACCATGTTTTTTAACATAAACAATAACAAAAACAGACATTTAAATCAATAAAATTGTGGTTATAAAATAAATACATTCAAGATGTTCAATGTAAATGTTTCAAATAAAAAAAACTGTAAAAAAATAATTTGATATAGTGCAAATCAAAATATAGCTTTTTAAACTTTTGCATGGTAGAACCAGAAGCTGCACTTCATATTAGTGACAAACTTTGGCCTTTTTTTGACAGGTTGCTCTCATTTTTGCCTTCTAGGTTTCCATTCTTAGCTGGTTTCTACGATTCTTCTTCTACGTATTAAAAAAGTTGTTAAATATCTGAGTGGCGCACTACCGCTATTAGTGGTGAGAAAGTGCATTACACCTTATTCAAAATCGTTGCTGTCCTGTGGCCCTCTGTGGCCCAAAGTTTAAAACTGTTGTTCTTTTGAGGCCCTCCCATAAAATTAGGACCCAGTGGCTCAGGACTGGACCTGATCTCGAGCGAGCGTGCAGTTTCTAAGGAATTTACCAACTCTGTGGAGCCATCGGCAGGTGGGACCCTCTGAGTGAATACTCGCCTAAACTGACCCTTTAAATTTAGAGGCATACTAGAAATGTTCCAAAAAAATGCAGATAAAGCAAAAACACAGGTGCAGCATTCTAATGAGCATCATTTTAAAAACACTGACACAAGCTGGAGAAATACGAAGAACTGAACGAGGAAACAGACAAGTGGCGGAGAGGTCAGAGCAACCTCAGAGATCTCTCACTCAGACTCAGAGCCATCCATCATCAGATCAGCCAGCTCAATTTGACCATAAATATAAATATTCAATCCACACGTCTTACCTTGCCGATGTACTGGTAGTCGCTGCCCGTGTACTCCTCGTACAGATAAAACCGGTTCCACTTCCAGCTTCGTCTCACTCTTTTCAGCTGCTCCTCTTCTGAGATTCGTACTCCTGTTCCTTGTTGGACGCCAGCGTCCATCCTCTGTGGACTCAGAACCAGAGCCTCCAGGGACAGGCTGAGACAGAGGCACACAAAGATGGTCCTCATTGTTCCCAAAACGAGAGGCGCAAAGACAAGAAACGATGTGTCTCTCTTTGAACTGGTGTGTTTCAGTCCCTTATCTTCACTGACTGGAGAGAGAGAGAGAGAGAGAGAGAGAGAGAGAGAGAGAGAGAGAGAGAGAGAG